TGACTTTGACTTCAAGAAAAAATATAATGTACCTAATATAGCTAGCTTATATGCCTGAAAGTTCTCCTCATCGTTGCTATTACTATGACTAGCTAAGTTTAATACCCGACAGTTGAAGAGCAAGAACAGATAATAAGTTAGTTTCGAGTGCATGTAAAACTATTGAACGGATTTGGATAGAGCAAGAACCGGTTTAATTGCAAGGAACTATTTCATTCCAATTACTGAAGCGGAGACAGTACTTAATTGTTTAAACCGTACCTAATTCCAATGAACGTCTCTTGTAAACTGTAGTAATGTATTCAATCTAATCACGAAATATTGGGCTCGCTGCCATCGCAGCGGTAAGTCCCCTCTTTGAGGAGTGGCTTGAGAGACGCTACGGCGTACTCACCTACCGCCTGACACAGGTCCTCACCGGACATGTAAGTTTCGGGAGGTACCTGTGTCTGATGGGGCGGGAGGAAACGCCCGGGTGTCATCACTGCGAGGACCGCCCTGAGGACACGGTGGAACACACGGTGGGAGAATGCCCTGCGTGCGCTGAGCACTGCCGTGCCCTCAGGGAAGTGATCGGCGATGGCGACCTCTCGCGTCCGGGCCTAGTGCAGGCCATGATGCGGAGCGAGGGGGACTGGGATGCCGTCTCCTCCTTTTGCGAAACAGTCATGCTAGCTAAGGAGGAGGCGGGACGCGTGAGGCAGCGAAGCGCTGCCTCATCGCAACCCAGCCATCGCGAAGGACACACCGGGCGTCGGGGATCGCGGGACGATCTCCGGCCACCGTAAGCGCGGGCCTGCGGACGGCGAGCATGGGTGGCTCCCCGTCCGACCAGAAACAGACCCGAGCGTACGGCGCGTCGCGTTCCGCGCGCGCCTCAAAGAGCCATCAGACCACCACAGATGGGGCCCAATACGACCAATTCGGAGTCACGGAGAACCTAACGGGTAACCGGGGCTCCGACTCGACGTGCAGGAGAAGGAACGGGGTGGTTTTCAGTCAGTAAGAGTCTGAGACTCTCTTCCGCCTCACCCAGGCGGGAGCAGTCATTCGATGATTTTCCCTCTTAAAAAAAAATCACGAAATATCATCAGCTTTTTACAAACAAAATTGAGTTATAGAAAGGGGAGTGAATAGGTTGTTTAAGGGTCAAGCGCCGCGCATGTAATGTCTCATATGTTGCAAGCGTACATAGGCCACGGTAACCGCTTATGATCTGGCCGTGTGCATTTTTTGCCACCGTCGTGATATAAAAAAAAAGTTATTTCATTTATTATTTTATTATTAGTTATTTAGATCAGTCTCATACACAGCAATTTTGTTACCAATCAGTTGATACGTGGGCTCACTTATAACGAATCCATTACACAAATATTGCTGTTCCTAAAAATGTCGTATTAACCCTCACTCCCTCACCCCAGGAGGTAATGTAACATTTTCTGCTTGTTCGTACAATTATATTTATTTCATCATTCACTCCCTTTATAAATCAGTTGGTACAATTTTTTCGTGTTGTTATTTAAATCGAGTTTATATTAATCTTTGTCAGTCGGCCTATATTTGGTATTTTAACCCATAAAGATAATAAATTCAAGACTAATAATTGACGACTTTTAGTCTTTCGAAAATTTCTCTGTAGTATTATTAGTTTTTCGGTAGTATATGCGTGTGCTCGGTGTATGGCAATAGTTTAATTCCTTATTACTTGAAAATCATAATATAACTTGTTTGTTTGTTTTTGTTTTTTTAAAAACGTTGCCCCACATTAGGATTTTCTCCTGTGTCGTGGGTGCGTTTACAAACATATAAGTTCACATACACATGACACCCAGACCCGGAACAACAATCTGTGGATCACACAAATAATTGTTCCGTGCGGGAATCGAACCCGCGACACGTTGCGCGGCAGCCAGTTGCCCAGCCACCGCGCCAACCGTGCAGTCTACTGCTGCATCATAACTGATGAAAATGGTTCTGTACCCCTTCAAATATTAAAAGGAGGGACGTTATTTTATTTACTTAATTCTTTACTTAATTCTGGCAGTAATTGGGTAACTTTAAATTAAAAAAAGAAATCGAACGCCATAGTTAATACAAGAAACCGTCAGAAAACGTGTCCTTAAAAATATTTTTCCATTTTCCAGAAAGTTCTCGAATTACCTATCTGTATCGAAGTATGGTAATAACGTCGAAAGTTTGTATTTATAAAAACCGATAGCCCTAGGGAGTTTGATTTACTAATTTGAAGTCGCAAAGTCGTGACCATTAAAAGTTTTTCACAGGCTCAGTGTCAAAGCTGATTTTCTTGTTAGGATTACATTACGATAAGTTAAATAAAATATAAACCGGCTTATGTCGTTGGTACCAAGAATTGTATATTAAAAAGTTACGATTTTACCATTTAATACGTCTCTCGGTTGTGTCTGTTTTTCTATGTTTGTGGTATTAATCGTAAAATATATTTTGGAAAGTAACGATAAAAATAATTTGAGGCAACTTACGATTAGCTGTACCTACGTATACAGGGTGGAATTTTGTAATGCCACCTGAAGGGGAAGTAGTCTTAAGACTACTTATTGTATTAATACAATAAATTGCACTTTTTGTTGCATGCAATAAAAGTACAGGGTGCAACTTTTATAGATTTTAGTCGGTTCGATGACCGTGTGCGGCAAGCGAATTTTTAAAAACCTTCGACTGCCGTTTTATTTCTTTTCGAAAATAAGGGAGTAAAGTATTTCATCTAAAGTATTAAGAGTACTTTGCCTTCAGGTAGCATTATAAAATTCCATCCTGTTTAAATGTATGGAGTAGATATAATATAAAAATCCGATCAAAATGAATACTCAAGTTTCAATATTCAACACAACTGTACGCGAATATTCTATTTATGTTTATTTAAATTCAGAATTGAACTTCTGGGTCGTCGACTTCGATCAACAATAGCAACTAGATATCGGGTCGGCGCAAGAAAATCGTCTCGACAAATAAGAGCTCACTTGAGAAGTGAGCTCTTATTTTGTTTAGTATGCTCCAAACATGGCCAACGTACTCACGTCTCACGATGCTGCGTGCGTAATTGCAAGTTGCAAAAATAATAACCGAAAAAGCAGTATAACGGCCGGAGTGTCTTACTTACGATATCTACATAAAGTATAAGTTGTATTTTAAGCTTTTAAACTAGTAAATAATATCAAATTATACAAAATTACCAATTATAAACCAACGCCACCAATGTTTGTGCGTATGTTGGCGATCCCTTGGCCAAGCATCGCCAACACGTGCACAAACTTTTGTTTAACCGGAACAGTGGATGCATGGAGTCGATTTGTATTGTAAAATAAAATTGTATTGTAACCTGATTGGAAAAGAGTACCTAACCTATGGAGTTTTTTGCTCGTTCTTCTCCATAGGAATCTACACCTTGGAATGAGCAAATAGTTTACTTTTAAATTTATATTATTGACGTTCAAAAGTGCCTTCCTGGTCTAACTGAAATAAATGATTTTGACTCAGACTTAAACTTTTAATAATAAAGTATATAAACATAATATCATACACAAAAACGTACCGCTAATAAAAATAATTGATGTATACTAAGATCCCGAAATCTTAATTTTCATATTATAAAATTATTTAAGTGTTCAACGCGACTCCATAAATACCTCCTGTAGCGAAATTCGAAATTCGAAAAAGCAAAACGTAACAAAACAAAATGATATAGATCGCAAGGCAATAACAGAAAAATTTTCTTTATTTGTTGTATAGTAAGGTTGAATTCATACTAGATATTGTGTAACTTATGTCTTTTAATTTCTACATGACAGGAGTAAGAAAATGCTTTTCTCGTCTTATGTGACGAATGGTCGTAAGTATTAGATAATATTTTGACGATTTATGACTTTATTATTAGGTGCCATGGTTGTTATTAGGTTGAACTTAAAACTATTTTAAAACATTTTCCTCCGTTTGTTATATTTTTACTATTATTATTCACACGGACAGAACTGGAGCTTGATTTTGTACGTAACCCTTTATCTAGTTGCTATTGTTGATCGAAGGTCGTCGAATCAAACGGATATTGCGTTTATACATACACACATATACACACAAAGCAATGCCAACTTTTTTGCATGCCGATATGACATTTGGCAACTTTATTGCTGTGGTCAAAACCAAATTCGTGAGTGGAACAAATCGGATGGTTCAGAAAAGTCGTGAGGTTTTATTGCAAACGACTTTGGGTATAAATCAAACCCCACATGTCTCTATAAAGTCTTGAGTGGAAATTTTGGATGAAAGGATTCTGTTTTTTATTTCTTCAAAGTCTTGTGGGTTGCTATAAAATACAGGCTGTGAGGGTCTGAGAAAATGTAAAAAGGCACGCTGTTGTGCATTGTAAAGGCAATAAGAATATTGATGATGATGAATGGGTAAGAATAATTAGAGTAGTTTAAATTCTAACTGTAATCTTCTATAGGACGCAATTACTTTTTTGTTAATGTAGCGCCTTAAAAAATACTTTCAAGTTGCAAGAACTTATTACATTGTTACTGCTTGAATATTCAAGCAGAACGAAGTGTCATTGTTATTACCGAACTAGGACTGAAAGAAAGCCAGCATAAATAAAATTCATAATAAATAATATAATATCACATGAAGTATGAAGTAATGGTAAGGTAGTATTGCATAGGGTATCCTAATCAGAGTTCAGTTTACCATAATAATAATAACATTTACATTTGTCATTAGCAAAATATTAAAGCCTGCTGTTGACCAGGGTGACGCCGGCACGGTGACATCAGCTGGGATGCAGGTGAACCCGCGCACAGGCTCCAGGCTCAAGGCGGAGGTGCGCTGCGATGGAGCCCCACTCACACCTGCCTCACCACGCTTCGCTCGCCACAACCACAACCATTTAGGTAAGACTGTGTGATAAATGATTGATGTATGACTGCACGATTGGCACGGTGGCTGGGCTTCCGCGCAATGTGTAGCGGGTTTGATTCCCGCACGGAGCACCTTTTTGTGTGATCCACAAATTGTTGATGAGTATGTGAACTTGTGTGTTTGTAAACGCACCCACGACCCAGAAGAAAATCCTAGAGTGGGGCGACGTTTAAAAAACATAGAACTGAACAATTAAGGATAAAGAAGAAGGAGAAGGGAAGAACGTTATGATCATAACTCATCATACCATATTATTATGTTCAAGTAGAAATTATTTAACTTATCGTAAAAACTATTTCTTTTTGAAGGTCCACGATAATGAATCACCTCCTATTACTGAGACTTCCTTAGAAACAATTTTCGCTTGAGCCTCATCTCGTTTCTTTGTGTTAAAGTCGTCTTTTAAACCCACAAATTTTACCGACTTCTGATTAAGATAAATAATTAAGTCATTACTTAAATAGAAATATTTTATTGTAAGTGTGTACGTATGTACCTACAATTAATTAAAGTATGTAGGTATGTACATACGTACCTACATACTTTAATTGTTTCAAGAGAAAGCACGGTCCTTTGCGGAACGTAAACTTCGAAGAAATCTTATCCACAATTATTTTTAAAGAAAAAAATGGCAAAATCTGTGATACATGCCTTTATTAAAGTGACTATTAGGCCTGGTTTTCTAAGAAAGATATGACAAAGTACTCCAAAATACGCCCAAGTCATATCCACAGGAACTTGAGATGATACATGTGAGTCCTTCAAGCATCTACTTGATTTTAATGGGCAGGTTCTGAGTTCTAACTTCGTATTTATTTTTAGGTATGTTTTTATACTTGGATTTGAGGACTGAACTACAATGTATCTTATTATCGTTACCTTTTTATGTAATAAGGGTCTCAGAAAGACTATTTTTCGGTATTGTTGGAGTAAATCACGACAAGCGTTATGTATGAGAGTAATGAGAGATTGTCTTATAAAAAAAACGTTCCGTACGTTTTAGATCAGTATCATAGATCTAACTAAAGATAATTCAACATTTGCAGAAATAGACTCCTAATTTTTCTAAAGACGATTTTTCTGGATTTTAACAGATTTCAAAAAATTAGTTTCTCTGTTTTACCTATATGTATGTATATGTTTGTGTGCGATGACCTCACAATTGACTGAATCGATGCAGTTTTCAGAAAAGTGTATGTGACACTTAAAAGAAGGATTTTTAAAGTATATTAATAAACCGACTTCAAATAAGAGGGGGTTGAAGTCAGTTTTTTTAAACGTAGTTTCTGAAAGAATTATTATTATGTCTTCTGACTACCGATTATGAAATATGGCTACAATATGGCTACGTCAATTTCCTGGTCCGGCAAATTTGATCGATGCTCGGATTTAGTACCATTTAAGATTTTGGCCTCATTAGTAATACCTACTTCAAATAACGTTAGTCTGTTAGTCCTACTTTAATATTAGTACAAACAGCTGTTTCCTACCAGAATCAGTAAAGTTAATCTTGGTAGCTGAGGAATATTCGTTGCCTTATGTTTCATGTGTATGTAGGTACTTATGTGCTTCGTCGACCTGTTGATATTATTTCCTTCATGGAAATTTAATATTCACACGCGTTGAGCATTTTCTTCCCACTTCGTTGCGAGCTTGAATCTTTGGTTGGAATTTCCTAGAATACCCACAAAATTTTTATTTTACAAGCTCTCAACTAATGCTGTATACTGATTCAAAATTGTACGCAACTAACTTACAGTATGTTTAGAAAGAATATAAAAGAACAAAAAAGTAAAAAATAAATACAATTACTTCTGTCTTAAATAAACTTCTTTGATATTTGAGAACTATGTATTTTTTTAAAGTCGGTTTGAAACCTACCAACGGCAAGTACCAATGTGACTTTTCCGAGTTACATGTACTTTCTAAGATAATTTAAACACCACTGACAAACGATGAAGGAAACATCGTGAGGAAATCTGGGCTTATAATTTCTAATTATAAGTTTGAAATCACCAACCCGCATTGAGCAAGCGTGGTGATTATTGCTCAAACCTTCTCCGTATGAGAAGAGGCTTTGATCAGCAAAGGGCATTTATAGGCTGTTAAAGATGATGAATGATGACTGAGGCAGTCAATTTAAGTTAAACATTTCTGAAAGTTCAACGAAGAAATATGTAGAAAATGCAAGGAAATAACTAAAAAAGTTAATTTCCCTTTCCTATACAAACTGGTCTCAAAATTACAAGAGCCCATGTACCTATATCGTGTTCTATTTTTAAATCCAAGTTATTGCCGCCTTTAGGCACCTACATTGCAAAAAAACGCAATGTCAATGACGTCAGACCCAAAATGACAAGGCACGAAATATATCGAGTTCTCTTTTTAAATTGAAATTATTGCTGCCTTTAGAACAATGCAAAATAAAAACAAATGACACGTCGTTTTTTCTTGTTGAAGCGGGGCGGGCTGCTAGTGTTTGATAAAAAGATGTTAAAAGATTTTCGATAAAGTGGGTAAGTCCTTAGAGCTTGTTACACTTTACGGACATTGTTAATAGTAATAAGTACCTACATAATGTCGTTGTCCTCATTCGCAAGGGACTCATTAAGATCTTTCACAAACTCGACTAATCGATGCCTAGTTTGGAGTCCTTTGTTTTCCTTTCATCGCGTGCTATAAAAACATTTCTCGCCTAAACATAATCTAAGTAACACAAGGGCCTCTCCATCTACAAAGTTTTAAGAGTACTTGGAAAAACAAATATACATAGGTACGTACTTACTTATAATTTGAGTCTCATATTTATCCTGTCATATTACGCACACGAATATTCATCAATATTGAACATACTTTCGCTTTGCAAACATTATTCTAAATTATGAGAAAGAAATAATTAAAAGAAAGTTGTTACCAGTCTAAATCATCATCAACAGCCTATAAATGCCCCACTGCCGAGCAAAGCCTCTTTCTTACACGGAGAAGGTTTGAGCATTAATCACCACGCTTGCTCAATGTGGGTTGGCGATTACAAACTTATAATTAGAAATTATAAGCCCAGGTTTCCTCACGATGTTTTCCTTCACCGTTTGTCAGTTGTGTCTAGATAATCTTAAAAAGTACATATAGCTCGGAAAAAGTCACATCGGTACTTGCCTTTAGTAGGTTTCTAACCTGTACCCTCATGCATGAGAAACGGGCGTCTTTATACCTCCGGGCTACCACGACATTCTCATCCACATTATTTCCAGCGGTCTAAATATCTCTATTGAAGTGTGTTTTCATTTTGTTAAATAATCATAATATTATGTGTACATCGATTTTAATCATAGCGATTAACAAATCTTCATAAGTCTAGTAAAGTTCGCTGTTACAAAAATACGCCAGTAATTAGATGTTCAACTTTATTTCTTGCACCTACTATTACGGCAATTCGACCCGACATGTGATAGGTCGTGTACAAGTCTATTGTTCGTTTGCTCTTTTTGCAGTACGAGGATTTTAACACCGCGCAATTTTCTTTGTTAGAAAAGTCCATTGGTACATTTTGTCTGACAGGGGGATCGCCTAACGATGAACACATTTCGTACTTTATAGAAAGACCTATCGTCCTAGCTTTTTATTCTGTAGTCTAGTAAATTCCTTGTCTTTTAAAATTAAATTGAATACTAATAAATATATAACATGGATTATAAAATGAGTTGATCTTCTTTCTATCTTTTGATGAATTTTAAGTGTGGGAGAGCCATGCTTCGGCACGAATGGGCCGCCTCGACCGGAGTGATACCACGGCCTCACAGAAAACCGACGTGAAGCAACGCTTGCGTTGTGTTTCGTCGTGTGAGTGAGGTTACCGTAGGCCCAATTACCCTCCCCTTCCCCAATCTCCCAATTCCTGAATCCCCAACGATCCTCAAATTCCTAATCCCCAAAATGCCGGTAACGCACTTGTAACGCCTCTGGTGTTCCAGGTATCCATGGGTGACGCCGATTGTTTATATGTGAAAAATCTGAAAAAAGAAGCATAATTAAAATAGCTTAAATATAATTTTTGACTAGGTGGGACACAAGCCAATATGGCGTCTGTGCCAGGAGGTGGCGCGGGTGGCGGTGCAGCGAACACGCCAGTAGAGACGGGCTGCGCAAACACATGTTCACGGTGCGCGTGTTGCGGTTGCACGTTGCGCGAAGCTGCGGCCCGCCACGAACAGCGAGTCGCCGCCAACGAACGATTGGAACGTGCTAATTTGGAGTGGAAACAGGTACTTTAAGATTTTTTAATGGCCTTACGTAAAAGGTATCTACTTAAAAATATTACGCTGTTGTGCGCAGCTGTCTTTACCCACTTCTGAATTTATTTGAATGGCATTAGATGTATACCTTCTAAGTGGATTTTACACTTCAATAACCCACATCGTAGACATAACTTTGACCGCTCATTGTGATAAAAGTTGCCATATTGTCATCTGAAATGTGATGTTTCAGTTTATTCAAACTATAACGTATGTACCTTTTATTGAAAAGCTTGACCGTTCCGCACTTTATAACGTCCAACTTAATTGATTTCTAGGAAATTTAATTATAAACGCATTATCTACTGCATGTCGTTGTTATCGAAAAATAATTATTTTTATAATAATAATTTAACTTTTACCTGATTTTACTTCATTAATTTTTTTTACTTTTGATACACCTTTGAATCGTACATCAGTATTTACAATCCCAATATAACAAATCTACTAAAAAATGTACAATAAACATAACATAACATAACTTCACGCCTTTTATTGCCGAAGGGGTAGGCAGAGGTGCACATTACAGCAATCAATTACACTGTACAATGTAACACCCACTTTTCACTATTTCAAGTTATGAGTACCGTGTGATAGAGGTCACCCTCTATTAATATTGCCATATACCGGGCACATTTCCAGACTCTGTGCTACTACTGAAATTTTTTGAAAAAACCCAGTATACTTTGCCTGACCCGGGAATCGAACCCGAGACTCCTTGCCCGGGTCGCACTTGCGACCACTCGGCCAACAAGGCAGTAAAAAGGTGTATAAAAAATACTAGCTACTTCCGCGCGGTTTCACACGCTCTGCTCAGCTCCTATTGATTGTAGCGTGATGTTTTATAGCCTATAGCCATCCTCGATAAATGCGCTATCCAACACAAGAAGGATTATTCAAAGCAGACTTGTAGTTACGGAGATTAGCGCGTTCAAACAAAAAAACAAACTCTTCCGCTTTATAATGATAGTATAGAGGTAAGATAAAATATCAATAAAATTGTTATAATATATATGAACTTAAGTAAAGCTCTCGTAATAGTAATAAATCGTTAAAGTTTCGCTATTCGAACTCCGATCACCAAGTTGGCTATTATAAAAAAAAAAGATTAACGATCGTTGATAATTAGTCCGATAGCGATTTCGGTAATTTAAAATGTGGGATTAACGGACAAAGTATTTCGTCGGCATTCTTTAATTTCGGCGTAGCGTAACCATTGAGGGGGTAACTAAAAGGCTGATGGAAACAATGAGACATTCGGCTCTATAAGCACTTTTGTAAGTGATCGCTGATAAAAAAACTTGAACTTACATAACATAACATAACATCATGCCTTTTATCCCCGAAGGGGTAGGCAGAGGTGCATACAGAAGTAACATCCACTTTTCACTACTTATGTGAGCCTATTGTTATACACCAAGCACCTATCCAGATACCGTGCTACTAATGAGATTTTTTTAAAAACCCAGCAATACTTTGCCCGACTCGGGAATCGAACCCTAAAACTGCCGGGTAAGGGGTCTCCCTTACCCGGCAGTTTTGTTACTATAGTAGTTTATTAAAGGCTAGTTACTATGCCCATCCCGTGGAGGACTAAGGCGGAGGCCTTTGTCCAGCATTGGACGTCTTCCAGCTGTTGATGATGATCAACTATAATATCAATTCAGACTTCAGTCTATCGTATAATGTCTCAGAGAGTATTCGAAGTTTCAGAGGATGAGACAACTGTCCAGGTTAAGGCCATAGGGTAGCCATTTAACTTAGCAATTTTGCTAGGTGCACAAGTGCAGAAAAAATACTTATTAAGGAACTTCGAAGACCGCTTACATATTTTGTTTTTCTTCCTTATATTGTTAACGCTATGAATATCATTGAACTTTTGATAATATGTTGTATGTCTTCAGTGACCTTTAGCCGAATGTTGTCTAATAAATATATTCGATCAGTCGTAAAATACTTACTTTTAGCCTTCGACTTCAGTCGTATATATTCAGGTGGTTTCTCTTGAATAAGTTTCGAACCTCGAGGAATATCAGAATAAAATGTCCCTGAAAAGTGAGATTTTTTCAATAACGAAAAAACGAATTAAAAATCACCCTTGCCTACTATTGTAGCGTTTTGAACATAAACGAATAATGAAATACTTTTTTAAATGTAAGTATTTAGACAAAATATATATATTTTTAAGTATTCTGTAAGGTCTTTTACATTTAATCCTACCCAGCTGTTTAAATGATATTTACTCTAATATGATATTTGCTTATTTTTATTGGAATACCTTTCCAAATACATGACATATTTTAATATAATCGTCGACACGATTCCATTCCAAGTATTTTCACGAGATAACTTCAAGTTATTTGATACGTTCATTCCAATGTTTTGTAAGCAAATAAAAAGAGATAAAACATGTATTTATTTAATTCTGTTGATCTTATTTTGAATGCGAGTCTAGAAAAAGCACGTTCCACTGTAAATTCTCATTAAAAATGCCGTTTTAGTACGATGGTTAGTCGTTTTTAACAGATATTACGCAGTTGTTTCATGTTATGATTTTTTTAATATAACCGCTCTTAGAGTAAATATGTAATAATATTATTTTTTCTTTTGTAGGTATCCGTTTCTGTTGAAAGGGATTACGATTGGAATATACAATTTAGTTTTTGTTTTAAATATTTTATTTAACTTAGTAAACCAAGAGAACTACGTACATTAAAGTGTACATAAAGCTAAATAAAGTGAAACAAGTGAAACAAGTGAAACAAGTGAAACAAGTGAATTTATTTCTGCAAATAGGCTACAAGGCAGCACTTTTACACGTCATTTTTATCAAGCGAACGATGAGGTCGACATTTCCTAACTGACTACTCTGAGAAGAAATGCCGAAACAAACTCAGAGGTCTGTCTCTTTTAAAGTCCAGACAATATGTATAAAAGATTATGTGTGAGAACCGTGCAAGTTCTTTCTGTAGTGGCCTTTTGAGGAAAGAACCACAACAGTTTGAGCGGACCCGTTCTGAAGGCAGTACGCATGTGTCGGTTTACAGTCGGCTCAATTAACAGGTGAGGCTGACTGATTCGACGAACAATACCAACCTAAAGAACATTTGCGTGGGTCGCACAAATACTCAAACTGTCAGAATATGGGTAATTAGAAAAGAAATGGTGAGGCAAAGTCTCGCACGGTCCTAGCACTAACAATTGTAAAGGAAAAAGCAAATGTCAAGTTAGAACAATGTATGAAAAACAATGTCAAGAAATGTAACTATATGTTACAAACATGTCAACATGACCCGTGTGGACGTTACAGCAGCTTATTCCCAAGCCAGACTATCATCTAGGTAGTCTTTAATTTTATAAAAAGCTTTACTATAAAATTTATCTTTAATGGCATTTTTAAATTTATTTAGACTCAGATTTTGGATATGGCTGGGAATTTTATTGTAAAAGCGTATACTCTGACATCTAAACGAACCACTTATTTTCTTTAGTCTAGTAGTGGGAACAACATATTTGTCTTTATTTCTCGTGTTGATATTATGTATATCACTATGCTTTTTAAATAAATTTTTGTTTTTATGAGCATATACTACATTTTCATAAATGTATTGAGAGGCAACGGTCATTATATTAATTTCTTTAAATAGTTCCCTGAGAGAGTACCTCGGACTAAGATTATAAATTGATCGAATGGCCCTCTTCTGCAGAACAAAGATAGATTGAATGTCAGCAGCATTCCCCCATA